CTGCTTGACACATGTATTTGAGCAAACTAAAAAATGATGCAATTAGGTCGCTGGGTGTTGAGAATTTACATGAATCGCTCTCAGTTGCACTCTCACCCAGAGCACATTCACGCAGTTTGCTGTGTTATTGCAGTGGATCCATGCACTCAAGACCGTGATCCAGGAGTTGGCTCTGCCAAATTGCCACGCTACACATTCAATAAGCTTGCGAGAGTATGTGAACCGTTCACGTATTACGGCTCAGCTGGTAATCGCAATAACTTTCAATCCCTTCAGGATTGTCAAAATCGATGTCCAGGTCTGAATCCAAGCACAGTTGCATTCATGACGCTAAACAGATTCCGTCTTGTTCATTTTCAATGAGTTCCTTAGAAAGCGTAATTGATGATCGATGAATCTATTCGGCAACTTTATAGTGTTGTGTTAATTTCGTGCATGTGAAAACAGCACTTACTATGCATAGCTAAATGTGTGGCCTGAGATCTGGCATGGCCTTCCTACGCACTTTATTTCCTGGATTCTATTAAAGTGGAATCTTCAGAATCACCGAATCCATGTCCTCATGCACCACTCAACCCTCAGACTCCATGCAATGGCAATTCTGGATCGTGTGGCTCGAATCAGTACTGTCACAACGGACAATCGCCATCGACATCAGTATGCTGTAATAAACTGTGTATGTGTGCTATTCATATCGTAGTCTGAAGTGGTATCTTCCTCATTTTTATGATTATTCCTGTCGGGGATTTAGTAGCTAAGTAAAGTATTAAAATTTAAGCCGGTGAGCGTTGTAATCAACCAGTGGTGTCTGGTGTTGGAAACGCAAATCTGGTGCGATGGTACTACAACGCATTCACACAACAATGTCAACAGTTCATCTATAACGGTCTTCAAGGAAACGAAAACAACTTCCTCACTAGAGAACAGTGCGAGGATGCATGCTTTGGTAGGAACTTTCACGCTTATTGTGCTGTTGCTTAGAGCATGCTGAAGCCACTAGTATGTTCGTAGCTTATCCCCAAACCTACTATTATGTCATATATATCGCCCTATTGAGTGCAACTTGTACTTTAAGAAAGTCGTATTTTTTCATCACGGAAGTTTTTTTTCAAATCAGATAGACCACTGGTTTTCCATTTGTACTTTTTAGAGTTTTCGTAGTATGCATAATCAGTGATCCTTACTTCGAAGCATGTCACTAGCTATTACAAAATAGGACAACATTTTAAGGCATTATGCAGTCAGTACCCATGGGACAATGAATGTGTGTAATCAACAAGCAAAATTTCAGCGAATCCATGCCTACGAGGCACACCGTTCCAAAGCCAAGGCGTTACGGTACAGTGTACACTGATGAATCAAGCTGTTTGCCCGGCTGGCTATTATTGTCACATCGGAGCGAACTCTCAAACGAGTGTATGCTGTCAAGCATTGGGTAAGTAACGCTAGAAGATTTTGACTGAATGGAGGAATCGTTTCACAAACCGACATCGGGTAACGGTATCGAAGGCTGCTTTTTATACGGATATATGTAGTATGACGCCTATAAAAACAGCTAAATTCCTAAATTGAATACATTTTTCTGCTTTCTCAAAAACTAGGGGGAGGTGGTAAATGTGCATTCATGAAAAATTCTTCAATGGGCGTCGGTCTTCATATATCCTCGATGTGCATGCTTTATCATTAACAGTAGCTTGCATGCTTGCATGACTAACTCACATCAGTAAATATGGGACTGTACGAGAGATCTCGATCAATATGGTTCTTCCTATGATCTTATGGCAACGATCACATTCCGGTGAGATTCTCGATTACTAACGTATCCGCATCTTCCTGTACAATACCGGTGAGTTCTTTTCAATACTTAAGTCTTTATCAAACAAATCGCGAATCCAAACCACCTTAACAATTCTTCATCATTCCATCTGACTCGCATTCGATCACAAGGAAAACCCTCTCATTGCTGCA